AAAGGAGGAAATAGCTCTAAAACATATGAAGTAAGTGCTCCCTATTCACCGCTATAGAATATTAAAGACTGCAATATAAAGGCAAAATTCTACCAATATTAAACTTTTAAAAGTTCATATTCAGGTCTATTCAGCTAAATTTTCTATTTATGAGTAACCCCACATAAATCACAAGAGACTTCCTTTATTATATGGCAGGTTGCATTTTTGAAATATGTATTATTTCATATATTAAAAAACAGCTACATCCAGCTAGATTGAAATGTGCTTGGTTATAAAAGGTCACTGAAAATTGCTTTCATTTCACCTGTCCATGGAAATGCAGCATTAAACCATTTTACATAACTGGATGAAAAGTATGGAAATGTACAATGAAAACCCCAACTGCTAGCCACATGTAATACTGCTTTATAAGTTTGAAGAATATTATCATATGCACTAAATCTTAGTTTTCCATATAGTTGTTCGGTAAGCTGCATTCATTATATTCTATGCTTGGAATATTTTTAAACATACAGCAAGTTATAGGGTCAATGTACATCAAATATTTTAACTATGCTACTTATAGAAATAACTGAACTGACTATCCGATTACCTCTCGGGGAATCAGGAAGAATTTTTTTTTTCCCTCGTCGGAAAAAATTGGATCATGCTTTGCTGGGGTTTTTATGCCTTCCTCTTGCTCAGCTGTAGGTATAGGATTATAAAAATGTTGTTTTATGGTTGAACTAGATGGATGTATGTCTTTTTTCAGCCACACTAAATAGACAAACTCAAAAGCACTAATGGAGTGCTCCTGCCAGCTATCTGCAGTGCTTCCATGTGCTGGTCAGGGTATGCACTGGCTGGTCAGGTTCAAATTAGGACCACAAGAAAATGGTTCCTCAGGCACATTAGTGATCACAGTTATATTAAAATGGTTTCAGTTTTTTTTTTTTTTTTTTTTTCCCAAAATAAGTGTTTATTGAAGAAAAACACAGATTGACACCAAAAAATTTTGCAAACGGGGTGAACATGTGGCAAAACATATATCATACAGAAGAACATGAAAACAAATGCAGGAATAATCAATGTGGATAAATTAAACCACGACAGGGTTGTGCCTGCAATATTCCGGTATGCTTGTCAAACGATTAAAGCAGGGAGGCACCGGGCCTTCCACATTAATGTCTCGAAGTGTGGTGCTATGGAGGAAAGGAGGGTGCGTACGATGTCTAAGCAGAAGTCAAAGCTACAGGTTTGAGATACTAGAGGTAGCTGAGTGTGTATATGGGAGTAAATTGTCGTGGGAACCGCTAATGGAGAAAGGAAAATGATGCTGTCAGCATGCCTAATGTTCTGCGGAATGATTATCCAAAACTTATACAAACATAGGAGTGGAAAGAAAGAGGAGAAGAGAGAGAAGCGAGAAGAAAGGAAAGAGAAAGAGAAAAAAAAAAAAGGGGGGGGGGAGAGGGGAAGCGCGTGGGTAGGAGGAAGTAAGGGAGGGGGTGACTGCAAAAATTGTTTGATCATCAATACGGGCCATATCGGGTGCGGTAGGAGTCTAAGCTAACATTGGTGTCAAATGATTGTGGGATGAACACAAGGGGGGGGAATATGATGAGCGCCATCGGATCAAATGCAGCTGAGTAGCATCAGCAGGGAATCTAAGTCAATTCAAACAGGTTGGTCCATGAGAGATCGATATGCGGGGGTAGTCAGAAAATGGGTCCAACAGGCCCATGTGCGGGAAAATTTCGTAAGGATGTCAAGAGCAGTCGCAATCAGTTCTTCCATGTCCGCCGTTTTACCCACTCGGATAAGCCAATCACGTATAGAAGGAGGGCGTGTGGAACCCCACAGAACAGGGATACAGAGTCTGGCTGCGTTAACCATGTGCATGGCTAAGGATTTGAAATACTGTCCCTCGGGAAGGAAAGAGTGGTGAAGGAGGAATTGAGCCGGAGAGAAAGCTACGGGTAACGTTAAAATGGCTTCAGTTTAGTTTCTGCCTATAGGAGAACCCCCCCCCCCCTCCTCCACACACAAGTTTCACCAATTTCTGGCATAATAATATTGCTATTATGTTCTATATTGGGTCAAACATGCTATAGGGACATTCTCCCATGGGTGAGAACCAAGCTGTAGCCATTTTAGTATAATGACTATAATAAGTCCTGGGGATTTCCTTGTTCCTTGCTGCTAATGAATTCAAAGCCATCAGCAAGGTTTAGAGCCATGCGGAAGGAAATGGGAATGAGACTACTCATTGGGGTAGTTTCACTAAAGGCAAATATACTGTGCACTTTGCAAGTGCAGCTGCACGTGTCAAATGCGGTTGCTTCAGAGCTTAGTAAGTGCTGTGAAGCTTCACTTTGCAATGAATACCCAATTACATGCAAGGAAAATAAAAAAACAGCATTTTGCTTGCACATGATTGGATGATAGATGTTAGAAGAGCTTTCCTTCATTTATTAAGATTTGGAGTAATTGCACTTGCAGAGTGCAACCGCATTTCCAACGTGGACAGTCTATTTGCCTTAGTAAATCGACCCCATTGCATTTGATAGTATATTACCAAGGTGCAAATATGTTCAACAGAAGGTTGACTTTAGCATAAATTTTAAACACTTAAGTGGACCAAGCAATAAATATATAATTTACAGTACATGCTACATGCACATGTATTTATGCTAAGAAATGTGTATGTATTTATCATTATACACAGAGCACAGTACTCCTCCTGACAACCACTACAAATGCTTTTCTGTCCAGAAACACAAGACCATCTTTGTTCAAGCATTATCCAGGATCAGAATCTATTTATTGGACTGGCCACCCCCCTGCTTCATTTTCTCACCTTGTAACCTGCTAAAATATTGCAGTGTTGCAGTCGGATCACTGGTGTAGAGGGGACTGAGAAAAGGGGAGCTTGAGGATTGTTTTTAAAGGATACAAAGTACAGACCAAGGAAAAGTTAACCAGCACTACTACTGGACACTGTAACTTTTAATTATTTTATTGAAGCAACTAATTTAGTTTCTTTAATAAAGTACCATGTTTTACAGTATCTATCAGGAGTACCAATCATCTTTTTTTGGTTTGTACTATGATCTGAGCACCTGGCAGGTGAAGAATTAAGGCATCATGTGAGCTTGTTTATAGAGATGGGTCATCTTGAAAAATTATACTGTTGCTGTATTTTGCCACATGTCAGGAATGTATTCATACAGACTTATAAATTTGCTGAAATGTTAACTATATTATCTCACCCCTTACTGCAGATACGTTCCTTCCCCAGCACCCAGTTTTCCAGCCAGAGTCAAATAAAAAGTATGCTTCAGCTTGACAACCGGTCATCTATGTATATTTCTTTACTTTAAAGGAGAAAGGGAGGGAGTCACATGTTCCTCATACTTAGAAGTACTGAATTTTTCTTTTGGATCTGGTGGGTGATTGGTATGAATTCATTCTTTTTTTTTTCTGTAGATCAGCATTTGTTTTTACCTTTGGTTTCTTTTTTGTTTTGTTTTCCTGAAGCCTAAGCTCTTTAGCGAATATCTGACTTTAACCAAGAAATTTAACAGCTTGGAAAAGGGATTATAAGCAAAATAAACATTATTGTTGACCATGCTTTTACTTACCATTTCAGAGCTGGAACACAGACACTTACTAAGCTAACAAATAGATTTTACGTTATTGACTTTTCATTAATGGAATCATTCGGAGTGCCAATTGGTGTTTATGTTTTGTATTCTTCAGTCTGAGTCTGTCTGGAGCTGCCACATAGATTATAATATCTGCTTTACTGCAATACATTTAAAATAAGGGCACTATTTAGTAAGTCTATAATGAAAGGTCCACTCAGATTCGTCTCCTTCCCGGGATCAACTACAGGAGCAATTAGGTTCAAGGAAAGACCAGGACAACAATGAGATCAAATAGGGTCAAGACAAATGTATAACCAAGTTTATATATAAAAATAAAAATACTGTCAGGAATGGACTGGCCAGCAATGGTGGGACTCACCTGCCTTTTGATCTGCAGTACCAGGGCTGGCCAGCGGGTGCTCCCAGCAATCAGAGACTCAACCTTTCAGCCAGCTAACACCTGGAACTGATGATACTGGTGTATTTAAGGGATGGCCAGACTTGCAGACTCTGCCTTGGTGTTGTGTTTGTCCTGGGCCCTGTATCTGTCCTGCATCCTGTTTCTGTTCCTTTGCTGACCCTGCCTGATCTGAACCGCTGCTGACTTCTCCTGCTCTGATCCCGGCTCGCTCCTGACCATCCCTCTGCCTGACCCTCTGTACCACGCTGCTTGCTACCTGTTCTGATCCCTGGCTTGTGACCCTGACCATCCCTCTGCCTGACCCTCTGTACTACGCTGCTATCTACCTGCTGAACCTGGCCTGTGACCCCGACCCATCTCCGCTTGCTCCCCCTGTACCTACCTGCCCTATTGATATTGACCCGGCCTTACTGCCTGACGACGCTTGCTTGTATGTACTGTTATCTGTGGGTGGTTGGTTTGGTTTGTTTGCACTGTGTTATGTTTAGTATTGCACTGCGTTTATGTTTGTATTGTTAGTGTTAATAAATTATATTGTTTATCACATATCTGAAGTCTGCGTTTCCCTGCGTCAGTCACACACCTCTGGTCACACCTGGGAGCCCTGACAAATACATAGGACCCCTGGTTCAAAAGGGTAGGGTGCCCAGACAGATCCCAATTATGTATGGGAAGATATCCTCATTAGATTTATCATTGTATACAAACAGAGAAGAATCATGGATCTAGATATCACACTGCTCAACTTAGCCCACCTTCATTTAAAATATAACAATTTATTACTACAAAATTGAATCCATATACAGAAAGAAATTACCGTATTTTTCGCTCCATAAGATGCACTTTTTTCCCCCAAAAAAATGGAGGAAAATGTCTGTGCATTTTACGGAGCGAATATGGAGCGGCTGGCCTGGTATTCCTGCTGCCGCCGTGTTAGAATACTGGGCCACTTGGCTCTTCTGTGCTCCTTGGTCCTACCTGTTCCTCGGTCCAGCGCTGTCCTCACCGTCTTTTCTCCCCGGCATCAGCACCTTTACTGTGGGCACCCGGCTGTGGCAGCTTGTGGCCTCACAGCTGGGTGCCCATGAGCGGGAAGCTCTGAGCTTTGTGAAAGGTCTGGTAGTCTTCTGGGGCGTGTCAAGTGTCCCAAAAGATGGGGAGGGAGGACAACTCCGTGGAAGTGGGAGCAGCTACCTTGCAAATTCAGGTACCCGCTCCCCCCCTCTGCTCCCCAAAGGTCGGGAGTCTCTGGTCATCTCCTGTATCATGTCCGCAGTCTCTGGTCATCCCCTCTATCATGTCCGTAGTCTCTGGTCATCCCCTGTACCATGTCCACAGTCTCTGATCATCTCCTGTACCATATCTGCAGTCTTTTGTCATCCCCTGTACCATGTCTTTAGTATCTGGTCATCTCCTGTATCATGTCCGCAGTCTCTGGTCTTCTCCTGTACTGTGTCCGCAGTCGCTGGTCATCCACTGTACCGTGTCTGCAGTCTCTGGTCATCCCCTGTACCGTGTCCTCAGTCTATGGTCATCCCCTGTGCCATGTTTGCAGACTCTGGTCATCCCCTGTACTGTGTCCGCAGTCTTTGGTCATCCCCTATACCATGTCCGCAGTCTCTGGTCATCTCCTGTACCATGTCTGCAGTCTCTGGTCATCTACTGTACCATGTCTGCAGTCTCTGGTCATCTCCTGTAGTATGTCCACAGTCTCTGGTCATCTCCTATACTATGTCTGCAGTCTCTGGTCATCTTCTGTACTATGTTTGCAGTCTCTGGTCATTTCCTGTACTGTGTCTGCAGTCCATTGGTTCAGAATATTTTTTTTTCTTGTTTTCCTCTTCTAAAACCTAGGTGTGTCTTATGGTCAGGTGCATCTTATGGAGCGAAAAATACGGTAAACAAAAGTGCACTTGTCTCCCACCACATTAAAAATAGAATGGCATTGTTCCACCCAGACATACTCGCATCTCTAACTTCAAATAAATAAAACTACCTGCCAGGCTGGTTTCCCTGCAAAAAAGAATCTGACTACCTTGATAGCATATACAGTATATGCATTTACATGATGATACATTAACTTCTGTATATGGATGAAATTTTGTATTTAATACATTTCGATATTTTTAATTAAGGTGGGCTAAGTTGTGATGTGCAGTATTCAGAGCCATGATTCTTCTCTGTTTGTATATAAGAAAGGTACAACCAAGCCCAGTAAGGCTACTGTTATATGAGAATTGAATAAAATGCAATGGTGTACTATTAAAATGGAACATCATAAAAAAATAATATTTTTCAAAATAAGCTCACTAATGTGATATGTGCCATTTTTACTACTATAATCATGCAATAGAATCTAATTAAATTATTTGAAAGTATGCAATATGGTGCTGCCATGGTATTGCTCACAATATACCAGAATACAAAACAGTAGTCATGGGGTAAGAAAATGTCTTTTTACAAACAAATACCAAAAAGACTTCTCTTTTCACAATTGCTTGTGTTCACCTTATGTGTAAATAATGCTCAAGTTCTCTTAGAGCTGATTCACACATGTGCGGTGCGGATTGAAGCTCAGGTTCACAGCTAATTGACACAGTAGTTGTTCAGAATTAACTCTCAGGATTATCCTGTTCACACATATCATTATTATTATTATTATACAGGATTTATAAAGCACCAACAGTTTACACAGCACTTTACAATATAAAGGGAGACAGTACAGTTACATTTCAGCACAGAAGGAGGGCCCTGCTAGTGGAACTTACAATCTAAAGGAAGGGGGAGGTGGTACAAAAGGTGATAGCTGTAGGCAATGTTCTGATGGAGGTGGCTCAAGTACAGTTCTTAGGTGGAGGTGGAGTAGGCTTCCCTGATTAAGTGAATTTTCAAATATCGCCTAAAAGCAGACAGGGTGGGGGCTGACCCAACATGCTGTGGTAGGGAGTTCCAGAGGATGGGAGAAGCTCTGGAGAAGTCCTGGAGGCGAGAATAGGAGGAGGTGACGAGGGAGCTAGAGAGCAAGATGTCTTGGGTGGAGCAGAGCTGGTGATTTGGACAATATCTGCGGATGAGGTTGGTAGCTAAGGGCAGTGTTGTGGATGGCTTTGTATGCTGTGGTTAGCATCTTGAATTTTATACGTTGGGTTAGTGGAAGGGATTTAGAAGCATTCCCACACAAGTCAATAGCCTGTAATCCGCACCTGAACTGGACTGCACTACTCAGAAATCGTACATGAGAAACCACACTGAATGCGCATTGAATCCACACCACCAATGCACTGGACATATGTGAATAGGCACCATAGGAGGCAATGTTTTTCACATGTCATGCGGACTGGATGCAGTTCAAACCTCATTCAATCCATATATATGTAAACTGGCACTCAAAGTAGACTCTAAAAATATAGTATTTGTTCTTTTAAATGTCACATATACAAGTCGCTTTCAGAAGGAGGAGCCCTAAATTAAATTGACAGCTCCAAAAATTGACAAGCAAGGGATTACCAGATAACATTTGTGTCCTAGGGAATCTGTATATAGATCAGTATTTATTAGTTTGAAACAAACATGGTACAAAGGATTAGCTCAAAACATGGAAAAAATAGTTCACAAGGCTGTATATTTTTTCTTAAATTATATGGATTACATGCAGATATTATCATGCAAAATACTAATGAATAAGATCAAGGCATTCTCTCTACAGGTTTTCAAACACTCTAATGGGCCAATAGAAAGTTGTAGGATAGGGGAGGAGTCTGCCAAACTGAGTTCTAAGCTGAAGTCAGTATTTGCACAGCAGAGCATGCAATCTAATCAAAATGGCAGTTTTTAAACCATTACAAGGATGCATAAAAAATGGTTCCTTGAATAAAATGACTTAGAGCCCAATAAAAGCTAATACACAATAGAAAACTTTTCTCACTTGTTATATTTTGTACTAAATGCATCTATTCACGATACAGTACATTTTCCATTTCAATATTCAAATTAGACACATGCCTGATTTGTTATTTTAAATATAAAACAGTTTTATTGTATGAACAGATTCTGCATCATTTAGCAGCTTGATAAGAGAAGACAATAATTACTTTCATGCTTTTATTTCATACAGAAGAGAATCCTGTTTTTAACAAGTCACCTTAACCTCAGTAACTCAGAACATTTGCAAAAATATAATAAAGCATAGCAAGCAAGCATAGTGCAAGCAATGCTTGACCCAAGAAAAGTAGCTGTACTCTCAAATGCTATGTTAAAATGTACTCCAATTTGGCTACAGTTTGGAAGTCATTATTTTGAAGCACGTTGATCTGAATCAAGACTTTTTTTTTTAAGTGAGTAAATCTGATACTGTTACATTGACGTTCCTGCAAAGGAGTTTTAAAAAACAGATCATTCTCACTTTATTACACAAAGTCTTGGTTTAAAGTAACTTTTTTTTTAACCAGGGTTCCTTGACACCCAAGGGACAATCCAAAAGTAGTTAATTCCTATACAAGATAATGGAACACTTAAATAATAACCTAGGCCATACCCATACCAAATTAAAGATTAACATTTTTGAATAGTCTCCCAGCATTCAGCATCATTTGACCCAGAATACTGAGGATATGCAATGAATGCAGAATATCATGGGTCTATTTCTTGAGGAGGTCTTGCCACCAAGCCCTGCACTCATGGTGTAATCATGCAGAGAACTTTTCTTGTGGTTAATAATTCACTGCCATAAAAAGATCTAAAGAACAAGATGGCCCTGCATTTCACACACCCACAGATGTCTGGAAAAGGTAAGTATAAAAAAGAAAAGGCAAAAAATACAACAAGGGGAGTGGGATGGGTGGGCCTGGAGTTGGGCTTTCATATCTAGAGAAATTCATGACCATAAAAACTTGGGTAACTCTGTTAAGCAGACAGTGACCAGAACTGTTGCTGTTACACTATGGGCTGCCCCTTTATGCTCTTATCATCTTACCACTGACAATAATATTATTAAGGGCAGGTTGGGGCAAGTGGGTAGAGAAGGTTAAAGGCCTTGGCAGAGCCAACTGGTTTGCTTTAAACAATAAGAGTGCTTTTACAAAAGAAAAAAAATAAACTAACACTTCCTTTTTTCACTGCTTCTGCATCAATTACCAACACAGGACTTAATGGCTTAAATGCTGGAGTAAAAAACTTGCAGTTTTTGTCTAGGCAGTGTTGGGCAAAAGTGTAAAGTGTAACTTTCATTGTTCTCTATGATAATTTTCCACCTTCACCGTAATGCATGTATTGGTTTGTATGCTTGCACTGAAGCTCGGATGGAGGGAAACTGTTCCAAACCTGACTGATTCACGAGTGCAAAGCCATGTTTTGATAATAGTGCACATTTGAACCTTTCTATTATGGTGTGTCACGGTAATAGATGATTTACTTTAATAAAAAGAGTCCTTTTTAGGACTACTATTTTGTGTGCATCAGCCACAAATTCAGTTGTTGTTTAGCTTCTGGATTTTATTTAACATTTTCATATTTCTATTTCACTTTCAGAGGCTGTTGAGAATGTTGCTGGGACAGAGGGAGCTCAGGTACGGATTGCTGGGGGCTGGGGGGCCACTGCACACAGAAGGTTTTAAAATTCATAGAATACAAAAAGTTTAAAAATCTTGAGCCTTTAGAACCACTTTAAGTGACAAAAGCTCCACATCTTAAATACCTCTGTTGCTTTAGCATCTTATAAAGTTTGTCTATCACCTGTTCATCATGTTTAAGAGGGCCAAAGGAGAGGTTCTTTATGAACACATAGAAACAGGTGAGCAAGTTTGGCATTAGCAAGGCAAATTAGAAGTTCAGCTGCACCTTTTCCTTCTGGAAGTGGGTGTACTATAAAACCAGTCGACATGTGCAGGACGGAAATTTTTCTTTTATATTTGATTCATTTGTTCATTGAAGAATTTTGTTTCATTGTATTGGTTATGTTGAACCAATTTATTTTCGGAATTTATTTTGTATCTTTGGTATTTGTTTTGTATATTCGTTGGTCAGTTGGATTTGAAACAAATTGCTGTTTTTCCAGAAGAATGCTATATATTCAATATACTATTGAATCAGATGGATTTGAGTCGGAAGGATTCAATAGTTTCGGGCGCTATTCTAACGCACCAAGAAAAATGGCAAGAGCTGATTAAACAATATCGATTGGTGTCAGGTGCATCCTGATTAAAGAATGGAACAAAATACTCATCTATTTGTTATCTGAATATGAATTATCAAACAAATTCAAAAATTTTGTTAATTTCCCCATGGGCTTGAACTACTATCAGATCATGTGATATCATTTGAATGAAACAAATGCATTTGTTATAACTTTTTTTCTCGTTAACATTTGTTACTATGTCCATTTGGAGATTAATTTACATCCAAATCTCTGAAAATTAAAATTTTCATCTGAAAAACAAATAGTAATGACACAATATGCCAGAGTAAGCAGAGTCATGGAGTAGGTAACCAATCTTTCCCTTATCCTCCTTCTTCCATGCACAAAGCAGCAAGTTTTTATATGCAAATGAATCCTTCTCTTCTTCCTCCTCCAAAGTTAATCCTGCCATTGCCCTGCAAACTAGTATGGTGGAGTTGGCTGAATTAAGCCAGCCATAGAAGGCGTGATTTTCACGTGTTGCAAGAAAGAAAATCACTTGATTCCCCCATCAATACAGTCAATGTTGATGGTGGAGTAGCTCCCATGGAGCCATTGTGTTCTCCCGGTGGGCGGGCGGGGGGAGCCGTCCCCATTGGGAGAACACAGTGATTACTAC